TATTCCATAGCAGTGTATCTACCGTATCTGTCAAATCTGAGGTTGCCCTAATCGTCTGGAGGGCATCACAAAGTAAAACCGCAAATTAGGAACTTTTGGAAGAGGCTAACTGCAGAGATATTTGGCCAATCGTACACATGCTTTTGCCATATTGCTTAAAACAGGAATTCTTGTTTTATTTATGGGCTTAAATTTATGAAGTCAATAACGTCATTTATTTAGTCGATGAACATCTTAGGAGAAAGTGATCGCTTCTGATATGATCTTGCCGTTTTCCGCTTGTCTTATAGAAAATAATAAGGACCTAATAGGCTCATGACTCAGACTGATAGATTGACTTTAGCAGTTGCAGCTAAGATGCACATATCTGATCAAGAGAACATTTATCACTCATGAGTTAGTGCATATGAAGTGGTGATAAGACTCATCACTCGTGAAGATTTGGCGCCACTGTCTGCTTATGCTAGATTGTCATCTGCACGAATAGTGATGTGTTAATTATTTAAGGTTATTGGTTGCAAATCGATCCTTCTCGCATTGTCAGTTGAATTAGCTTGCTGATGCTTTAAATCTTGTTCCAGTGATTCAGCGGCTGGCGATTTCTGTCACTCTGTGTTTCGAAGTTTCTTTGATTTATGCGGAAGTAAACTGTGAGGGAAAGAGAGCAAGAATTTCCGCACTGTTGCTGGATTCATTCTTTCTGTGGTCGTTCCAAAAGCGAAGCTGAAATATTGCCAAATACTGAGCCTTGATTCGAGGTAGTGCCTCAGTGCGTTGAATGCCCTTACGGCATCCTGCCGTTTCCGGTGAATAAGCCGTGTCGACGCAGATCTCACCGCAAAAGGCGGCACACAGCCGATCAGAACACCTGTTAAGGGGCTGACTGGCACCGGCACAGGCAGAGACCGGCGGACGACACAATGGGTACGGACTGATTACTCGTTGTTCCGCAATATCGCACAAATCGCGATGTGAACCTGCGAATCAGAATCGCTTTTTGCCAAAGCCCACAGGCCGATAATCGTCCTGTCATTTAA